TTTCAAAAAAATTAAAAACAAAAAAGTCTCCCTCCTACTATTCCACTCTCTCCAAAAATAATAATGCTCTTTAGGTGCTTCAAGAGAGTAAAATAGGCCACAAGTTTCTCCAATTTTCCTTTAGAGTTATAAATTTTTTAAAATACTTTTTTTAATTATTTGTAATCTATTATATTGCAATTACTTGCAGTAGCTGATTATAAAGAAAATATTTTGGGATTTTTTGCCGCCTTTATTCAATACCGGACAAAATATATCAAATCTTAAACGGACAGCCTTAAAAAGGATCCACCAAAAGTAGGTTTTGCAGTTTTAATAAAACGCAGATCTAAAAAGATTTTTATAAACTTGACGCGCGTGCGGATATCGTTTCGTCTTCGCAGATTGCAAACCACGGTTTGGAATTCAAAATACTTTTTTTAACTACTAATATTAAAATGAATGTTGATGATTCTAACCAAATTTTGAACAAGTATTGGGTAAGATATATTCTAGATAAATAAATATTTATATATTATATATATACATATATTGTAAATATATACATATATATATATATATATATATATATATATATATATATATATATATATATATATATATATATATATATATATATATATATATATATATATATATATATATATATATATTATATATGTATACATATATTATATATATATTATAGATGTTGATTTAAGTTTAATAATAAAACATGAGTGTAAAAGTTTGTGTTTCAATAAAAACCTTTATGTTTTCATTATTAATACTCTTGTATTTGTAGTCTTAAGTCACCCATTGTTTTCCACCCATTTGTTTTCATTTTTAGTTTTTTATTATGTTTCTTTCTACTTAATTTTTTCTTTATTTTAGCGCCTCCATTAAAATTAATTTTCTTTTAAGCTAAACTTTATAAACTGCCGTAAAAAGTCATACTAGTATGAGGTTTGAAGGCTATTTTTAAGGTTAATAGTATATGGTAGTGTCACAGTTATTGACATGACTCAATTATTGGCACTTTTTATTTTGTTTTAAAAAATGTATAGCTATTTCTAGTTGAAAAGTAAAAAAACATCAACGTATAAACAGAGTAATCTATCGTCTACTATTTGAGTAAAAAAAATTTGCTAGTTGTCTATTCTTTCCTAAAAATTTTAATATAAGTAAAAAAAAAAAACGCAATAATTTGGCGCCAATGTTAACTTCGATCCGGTTTTCGTTTTCGAAGAAATCAAAAACATTATTTTGATTCCACGATTTGTTAATTATAATCAGAAGTCTAAAATGGAACCAAAGGTAATATAAAATGTTATTTAAAAATAATTTTAAAAAAATTTTATTTTACAATAAAAACTAAAAGAGTTATTCTTTTTTAAAATTTGGGTGCCAATAACTGTGACAACAACTCAAAAATTGGCACGGCAATACAAATATTTAAAAAAATATTTTTAAATATTTTTTAAAATGAGCGTTTTTTTTTATAGTTTTCAATATTGGCATTATTTATATTTAAGTTATTAATAACTGTAAATCTGAGTTACTTTGTGCTTTATTAATTTATTTTTCAGACTAAAATACAAAAATCAAAGAAGTCTAGTAACAACAGACAAGTTAAGAGAAAGCAGTATGACAATAGGAGCATGCAGAGCGCAATTGACTCAGTTAAAAAATCAAATATGTCTATCAAATCAGCTGCAAAAAAATATAATGTTCCTCACAGTTCTCTACAAACAAAATTGTCTTGTTTAAGCAACCTTATGTGTAGACCTGGACCAGCACCTACTTTGCCACTATTTATAGAAGATGCATGTGAGAAGTATCTTATTGAAATGGCAAGAAGAGGATTTCTTCTAAAAATAAATGAATTTTTAATAATAGTTTTAGAAATAATGCATAAAAGCTTGCATCCCGCTGTTTTTAAAAATGAAATTCCTTCTAGAACTTGGGCATACAGTTATCTAAACAGGCACCCTGAATTAAAGTCTAAAACATCCGAACATCATTCTTTAGGTTGGTCTAGTTTCACCAAAGAGTCCTTATTGGCATTTTATAGAAATTTTGAAAAATTTATTGAGGATCAGGAGTTAAAACATGTGATTCAGTCGCCAGAACGCGTTTTCAATTTAGATAAAACTGCTTTTTATTTAAACTCAAACAAAGGTAAATTCATTGGTAGAAAGCATGAGTGTCTGCAACAGGTTTGCACTACTAGTGAAAAAGAAAATGTCACAGTTGCAATCAATTTTTCTGCCGCAGGAGAAATGGCTCCTCCTATGGTAGTTTTAAAGAAGCAGAAATTATCTAAAAATCTTCAGCAATGTGCTCCACTTGGAATGCTATTTCAGAAAAGCTCTAGTGGATGGACGAAGAGGGAAACTTTCCTTTATTATTTAAAAGAGTTCAAAAGATATTTGGTTGGTAAAGACTTGCTTAACATGAAAGACAATAATCAAAAAGTTTTACTTTTAGTTGATCGACATTCCAGTCACCTAAGCTATGG